AATCCGTCGGTGCGGGGAGAAGTACGCGGCTCGGTTGCTGGGGAGGCCACAGGTGCGTCCGCTGTGGGCAAGATGCTCACCGGGGGCTGCGGGGCTGTTCGCAGGGCTGAGCCGTTGCAGCAGGTAAAGTTATTAGAGGCGATCTGAGCAACAGGGGAAGTTGCAGATAATTCCGTAATAGAAAGGGGAGGGTTTGCGTGTATACCTGTTGAGGCAGTCTGCGTGTTAGACACACTGCGCTCTTCCCCCTGAAGAGCTTCCTCACAAGACGTTTATCATGGCCCTGATCGTGCAAATGCTTAACTTCAAGCACGTGGCTAAAGTCACTGAAATCCAAGTCACTGTTAAAGTTAAGGTTGCTTGATTCCAGGTATGATATGAGTTTTTTGCAAGACTGTTGTCTTTCTGTCTTTGAGGCTGTGTTTGCATGCTTTGTTTTCTTCCTTATATATTCAAGGATTTATTTTTTTAATATGCCTTGTCATTTTAACAATGTTCTGAAGATGCAAAGTGACCTATGTTAAAATATATTATGTAGAAATGTGTGTATTTGGGGGAAAATACATGAGCAGAAATTATTTCGTTGGCTTGATTTCGTTTTGCAAATGTTTAGAATGACTTTTATGTTACATGACTTGGTGCTTGTGAGAACTGGTAGGTTATCATAACGTCTGGGATCCCCGGAGCAGCACGGGCAGGAGAGCTGCCAAGTTGCTGATGCCGTCAGTTCTTGTCCTGATGGAGGGGCAAACTGTAGGCGTGCGAGGTGGTCTATTAGTGTTGGTGAAACACTGATGTGGGTGTTTGCCTGCAGGGTTTCTAATTAGTGCGGGCAGCTCCCATGATATGGACACTTCCCCCGGGAGGTGGCCTGGATTGCAGACCTAGGAACAACAGTCAGGTCCTTCTCTCTCATGTCCTGCTCGGCTCATGTCAAGCACCTCATTGTGTATTGATGCCCGTCAGCTGTCGCCGGGTTTATGCAGTGCTCTGCCTTGAGCACTGCTAACTTAGCTTAGCTAACTTAGCTAACTTAGCTTAGTGCTGCTAACCTGGAGGCTGATGGAGCAATTTCCAAAACACACATGCTTCCTATGACCCGTTCTTGTTACTCCATCTTGAGCCAGTCTGCCTGCCAAAGGGCTCTCATTACTCTGAGTCTGTGACAAAATCTATCGGGTCAGCCTGAGTGTGCTGAGGGGGTTTTCACCCTGTCTGCCTTGTACCTTGAGCTTCATCCCTTGGTTGATGTCACAGCTCCCTCTGTCAGATGTTGAAGTGCTGGCTAACATTGCCCCCTGCTTGCTACAGACCTCACCCATGTCATGGTGTTTACTCTTGCCTAGTCTGAGTGCAGAAGTGTGAGATGGCCTGCAACAAACCTTGTCACGTCAGCAGAAGCAGTGCCTGCTAGCCCAGTTAAAATACCTTTACCTAAATTTAACTGAGTTTCAGGGATTTTTTTCTTTTCATTTTGCACTTTTAGGAAATAGCTTGGTGTGTTTTCCACTGCCTTGATGTATTGCTGCTAAGTAGAAGATAATTTTAAATGAATGTTTAGAAATAGATTCTGACTAACAGGGACTAGGTAGACATTTATTAATTGTGGATAGCAAAGAGGGGTTATTAGGTACTATTGATTTTAAGTTTCTTTGTTTACAGAAGCCTAAGTTCAAAAAAAGAACCTTTATTTGTGCTAATTTCTTTTGATCAGGTTGAATTAATAATGATATGATCCCTTTAGATTCATGCATTGTACAATAGTTAATTGTTTTAGAGGACCTAAAATGCATACGTGTTTGAAAAAGACTTAGAAAGTCGTGTCTCATAAGAGGAGACATGTCAAGGATACAATAGTAGAGAGAGGAAGATGTGTAGCAGAACTAGGTCTTTTAGTTAACTGTAATGAGGATCATGTGAGACCTTGTAAATACTGCTTTCCTTCTGGAGCTTTTGCAGAAGTGAATTTCAGAGTAAATTAAAATGTGGAGGTAGTAACACTGTGTTCTGTTGTGATAAAAGTGTCAGTTCAGGTTGTCTCCAGTTTGTTTGCTCTGCTTGCAACATTCATGGTGGTGTATTTGAATCATTGTACGTACCATAAATATCCCAGCAGTAGGAGTTTTCTGGTATTAGAGCTTATGATATCAGATGTTGATTTATGTTCAAGTGGCATAAAGTTGCATTAATTCCTTCAGCTTATTTTTCATTTTCTGCCCCTTAATTCTGCTGCCTGTCAGCTGAGATTTGAAAACTAACTGATAATTCTGGCATTAGCCTCTTAATTCAGGCAACGTTGTCAAGGATAAGGCACTTTCCTTGTCCTTATTTTTTTAATCTGGTTTGTTATGATTCATTTGTGATGTGCACCTCGTTATCTATATCAGCAAATAATGCTTAGAAGCATGGGAAGTCCAACTTAATTATGTGGGTGCTATAGCATTATGTACACCAAAAATGGGTGATAATGTGATAGGTTTAACTAAACCTGACAAATGGAAACAGATGTTATTCTGCAGCTATTTATAAGTATTACATGCATACAGTGTGGAAAATTATTATTTTAGAGCAAGAAAGGTAAATAAGAGTAAATGAATGTTGCTGTGTAGTCTAGATCTGATTAAGCTATTTTGCAGGCAAGGCCCTGGACAAGAGAAAGGAGGGACTGGTTTGTTTTGCAGCTCGACTTCAGGCGAGTTGCTCGCATGAATTCTCACCGTGTCTGGTGATCACCGGGTGAGCTCGGCGGTCGTCGCCGGAGCTGGGCTCTCTTCTTCCTCTGGTTCTGGGGATCCCACCATTTGCTGAACCCTGAACTAGCTTCTTCAGCTAACCTAGCCTGGAATAAGTGAGGTTATACTCACATCTTCTATAGCATTTCTGAGTATATCTACTCTGTTGGGACGTAAAATTCTTTTATTCTTTCCAGAAATATAGTACTGCTTTAAACTTTTACTCAGTGAAGAGAAAGTAAAATATCTTAGACAGTCATGCATGTCTGTGAATATTTTAACGTAATGCTAACATTTAATTTAATAGGGTGCCATTGTTACTCCATTAATGCTTAGGAGAAGTGCTTGAAAGATCCTGTCTCTTTAATCCTTTGTCATTTCAAGCTTTTATGACCTGGCTTCATCCATGGGCATTAGCTGTGTAATCCCCTCTGGTTCAGTTCTTCTTATTAGAGGATTTACTAAGGGTGATATTTGGCATGCCTTCCAAATAGTTCACAGTGCTTACTTAAAATATAAGCGTGTTTGTTGCTTTTAAATTTCCACACAGAATGAAGATACCAACAATTTTAATGATATATATGTTAAACCTTGAAGGATTTTGTTACTATAAACCAAGGATCATTTGTTTGAATTTAATGAGACCTTGGTCACTTACTAGCTGTGTTGATTCTTTGTGGTTCATCCCAAAGAACAAAGTAGCTTCTGATTAATGTTTTTGTCTTTTATGACTTTTATCACTCCTTAATGAATTATAGTTAATAACAGTTATGAATCAAGCTGAGCTTGAGTTGAAGTTGGCACCTGTTATCAGGCAGTTGTATTTCTTTAAACTGCAATGATTCTTATGCTGTTAAGTTGAAAGAAAACATAGATTCTGTGTACGTTCAGAAGGACTGCGGCTCTTGGCGGTTTTGGAATGCTGCTTACCATTGTAGGAAGGAATATTTTGGGAAACCTTTAAAGAACCGTCTTGATATTTATTCAGTCTGAACATTTTGATGCTACATTTTTCCACTGCAAGCAGTCAGATTAAAAGGGTCTTTGTGAGATGCCTGGGACTTTAGCACCAAAGCTGTTTAGATCTTCTGGCTCTTTTTTATCTCAAACATTTAATTTCCACAAAAGAAATCAGCTTTTTTAAAGATCTAACTGAATTTCAGTACAAAGCTGTTAATCTGATAGAAGTAGTAAATTGCAGAACATACGGATAGAATCTTTTGTAAAGCTGGTTTATAACATTCGCAATTGAATGTTGAATCTGTGGCTGATGTGGCAATTATGTTATTCTTCATTTGGTTATGAAATGTTTTTGTTTTAGTTCTCCCTAACTTCTTGGTTTTTTTTCAGTCAGTCTCCTAAGTCTCCTTAGCCTCACTCAGCCTCCTCACTTAGTCTCCTAAGTGTTGTCTCCAAATTTGCAAATAGTTTCTTTAAAATTCTTTTACAGCTTGCTATTGGTACTAGGCTGAAGAGCCATTGTTTCATATTATAACCTTTTCCTACAAAGTACCTGGAAAAGGTCATGGAAGAGCTTTTTTTAGCTAAACCTGGATTCAGTAGAAACATAAAACAATAGAGGAAAAACCTGAAGAAAGAAGGAACCATTACATTAACTATCAAGATATTTGGTCACTACTACTGATTTCGAGTTTTTTAATATCTGCTGGACTCATTAGAAAGTAGAGTTACACATTTTAAAATTTTGTTTGTATACTTGTACTTTGAAATTCCTAATGTGTTGTCCTGCTAGACACACATATATTCCACATTATTGTGCATGTCAGCCTCTTCATCACATTCATTGTCCTCTGGCGAGTCCTTGGCTGATGGTGCTGCACTGAACCCCAGTGCTGTTTCTACAAGTTGTCAGGTCTTGATGCAGAAAATTGTAACCCTCTGTGGTATTTCTGTTACAGCCCTACAGCTTTGAAATATGATACACAATCAATGGAAGACTTTACTTGCGATTTTTGTTTTCACCAGACTGCCTTTATTTGAAAGCTAAAGCATGTCTAACCATAATCATCTATTTAATGTTTTGCCTGTGAATCAAATTACCTATGGTTGATGGCAGAAGATAACATACCATTAACATCTACAAGGTCATATACAATGGATATATAAACTGGTCAAGAGAGGCACTTAAATCCGTCTCTTTAATTATGTGCATTACAATTCATGCTGACTACCCTAACAAAGTTCTTAGAGTATTCAGATGTCTCAGAGGTAACTAACATATCTCTGAAAGCTTTCATCGTTACCAGCATGTCAGGTAAAATTAAGGTCTCTTAACTATTTAAACACAAGTACCTTGAGGAACATGTCCAAGCCTTTCTGTTTTTTTAAGAATAAAACTTGCTAGGACATGTGAGGTTTAATGTCAGTCCAGAACTTGAAACGGAGTGAGTTCACTGGTTGATTAGCATACTGATTTCCAGCAGGACAAAAATCAGTGACCTTGCTACTCCTGACAGGATTAACAAGGTTGAACTTAAATCCTCAATAGACCTTGCTGTTACAGAGGCAGATTTTCAAAGGGACTTAACTCTGCTTCTAATTTAGAGCTTGCTATTGTGAGCCTGCAGTATGCCCTGGCAAAGTACGGTAACAGTGATGTATTTAAAAAGTTGTGACAGCTTCCGCAAGACCTGTTCTTTGGAGAAAAGTTAGGCAGGGTTGAAATCACCTTATTGTTCTTGTGCTTGTTCTTTTGAACAGCCTTCTCATTAAAATCTCTGAAACATTCAAGGAGACACTGATCTCATTTGTCACTTGTCACTTAGAACTTGCTCTGTTTTGGGTCATCTTGATGTTGTTCAACCTCAGACACCTCTTATGTGCTCTCCTGAGTTAGTGCTACATTCCCTAGAACGTTGGATCCTGAATATAGGATATGAAGACTTTATGGAGTTAAGTTATTGTCTATTTTCTCTCGCTCTTTTGAGAAAGCAGTGATATATTCTTAGTACAGTTTGTGAAACTGAGATGAATCAGTGCAGTTTTACAAGTCTGAGGAGATCTTTTGTGTTGTATGTGTACTTATTTTTATACCAAGAGAGCTGTCTTGGTAAGAACAGAAAGTACCAAAGGTCATGATGGATTAAGTTAAACTAAGAAACATTTGACACTGTTAATCACAAGAGTGATTAACCAAGAAACCAAGGAGTTCTCTTTACCATAATCCACTTACTGTTTGTTTATAGATTGCAGATTACCATCAGGTGTACTAAATATGCCACTTAGTAGCAAACAGAACTTACTAATTATATAAAGCTGGAACTTGTAAAGGAATATGACATGCAAGATGTATTAGGACTGCTTTGAGGTTGAAGGGATAACAGCAATGAAAATGTACATCAGAGAGAAGTGTTATTTTTGTTGGGATTTTTTTTAGCAGCATTTAATTGTAGCAGAAATGAAAACTACTAGAACTTGAGCGTTCTAACTAGCAAAATCAGATAGTAGATTGATTACAGTTTTTTTGGTGACAAAGATGTGTAGATTTCAAAATTCACAATTGCTTTAATATGTGTATAAACAAAATATATTCTTTTCTTTCTCTAGCAAAAAACCTTTTCTGAAAACATGTATTTCAATTTTGAAAACTAAATATGTGAGCATGTAATATGAGTAGCCCTGATCTTGCAGTTAGGCTGTAGTCGTGCATATTTTTTTTCCATTGTGTGTGGATACTGTCAATTGCAGAAGATCTCAAAATTTAAGTTTTTCTGGACTGCATGTCAATAGATTTGCAAACAATACAAGTTCAGAAACTGATACATGTTTCTGTCACTCCAAGTGCTATCAAGATAGTAGATTGATTACAGTTTTTTTGTTTGTTTGTTTGTTTTTTTCTTTTTCTTTTTTTTCTTTTTTCCCCTCTGTTACCATTAGGAAAGGAGTGGTACTTGGTGCACATAACACTTACTGTGACAGATGTGAACGACAACGTCCCCGAGTGGGCCATGCAGCCCTTCCCCTTCTTGGCTGCGGTGTCTCCTCAAGCTGCAGTGGGTACTGAAGTGTACAAGCTGCTTGCTGTGGATGCAGATGAAGGGATCAATGGAGCTGTAGAATACTTTCTCCTGGATGGTAAATTAAAATCTCCTGATTGTGTCCTTGTTAAGTTTTACTCTTGTGCTTTTTTTCTCTTTGTACTTTAGTAAGCAACCTTCCTTTCCTCCCAAGGAAGGTTCATAAACTTCAACTTCATATGTGAAAAGATTAACTTTTAGTGGTAGATTTGCCAGGAAGGAGTTGAGGTTCCTGCCTCCTCACAGGAGCCATGCTTCCGGTTCCTTCATCACTTCTTTTCAGGGTCTGGGTTGTGCCTTAGCTGACTAAAGCTAGCACAGACTCACTACTGACTATCTTTGTGGGACTCAAGAGAAGAACAAAGCCGCAATAAACTTCAGTAGTAGTTTAAGCCTGTCTATACTCAATACAAAGGGCTTAGCAATGCCGTTCCAGGGGAAACTTACACCTTTTGGCTAGGACTCTAACATATCTTTTTTTTTTCTGGTCAGAGATCATATGTATTTTTATTAATCAAGTAAAAATGTACTTGTCAACAATGTGTGGACCTGTTCTTAGGTGGAGAAGACAGATTTGAAGTTGAGAAGGACACTGGCTGGATTAAAACAACAGGTTTGCCATTGGTGAAGGACAGGGAATACTTACTGACTGTGTTAGCAGCAGATAAACTTGGAAGCAAAGGGTCTCCGGCCTCTGTTTCTATAATTGCTGGACTTCGACCACCACAATTTACCAACATATCATACATTGCTTATGTTCCTGAAAGTATGCCACAAGGGAAAACGTAAGTACCCACCAAAATAGTGCAGTGAAACTGGTTCCTTATTCCATGCCCCCGCGGCCCTGTTGCCTGTTAGATGCCTCTTGCCTTGGATTCAGCAATGTTCAGGATTAAAATTAATGAAATTCTTAAGTTTCTGAGAGGCTCCAAAAGGAATGAAACATTTAATAAGGTGAGTTTTGTGATACAAGAAGCTCAAATATAAACAATGTCCTCCCAGGGAAAATGAAATATTATTGCGAGTTAAACAGAGATAGTAATGAAAATCATAGTAGAATCGCTAATTGCTTACATGTAAATGGTACAGGAATGGAGTAAAACAAGGTTCCTGTCATGTCCTGAATTTCTGTTACCAAACCTTTCTGCCTTTTCCTTTGGTCTGGCACTATCTCTAATATGCTAGTTGGTTTAGCATCCACTGAAAGACAACCCTACCCAGAAAGGAAAAGATTTATCAGCTGGGTGGTGAAACTAGCTCCCAGCAGATGTGAGCATGGGAGACAAGATGTAAGTGCATATGAACTGTATACTGTGTAATATGTGCACTATATTACTGTCCAACTTTAATCTTTTTGCAATTACCTGTTGTCATATTCAGACAGAATGACTGGGGCAGCAAACTTACCATTCAGTATTAAAAACAGTCATGTTTTATCTCTTAGCTTCCTACCTGAAAAACCTGCTATCCTTGTGAGAAAGGTAGAAAATGCAAATCACAAATGCAATTTCAAATTCAAAAATAAAATCATCTGTTTCTAGGTGTTTTATTCCTTGCTGTGTTCTGCTTCCAAGAATTCCAGCTTTATTTTTCACCTGAAGATAATAGAAGTATTGCCTAACTAAACGTTCAAATTAGATGCATTTGTCATTGAGGTCAATGAGCATTGCTCTAATCAGATTACAGCACTGCACATTCAGGACTAAAACGTAGCATTTTTTTGCCATATTTTTCAGTATGTTGTCTTACAAGCTTAAGGGACTTTTTCTTCTTTTTTGTTTTTAATTTTCATGCAGTTTTTTCACAGTCTCTGCTATATCGTATCAAAACAAATCATTGAGCTATAGCCTGCAAACTAATCCTAGTGGTCTATTCAGCATCAGTCGGACAGTGGGAGATATCAGCTTAACTCGGAGTGTGGATTATGAGAGCGGCCAACACCAATATTTTCTTTTGGTCAGAGCAGAAGAAGATGAGGAACAGCTCAGTAATACAGCTGAGGTAAGCATTCACTTCTGGCATTCTGTGTGGAATTTCTTTTGTTTCTCAGCTTCCCTCAGTCTTCCGTATTCATGTCACACTACTGACTTTCATGTGCCCAGCTCATGCTCTCTTTTCTACTATTCATATTAAAAGTCTTGCTGATTGTGAAAGGGCTGTTTTGAGGAATCGATATGCCATCCCGTTGTGGGTCTTAGGGCATATCAGGTAAGAGGTGCTACCAAGCCAAATATGAAACTTCTTATTCTATATAAACATAAAGTATAATTCAGAATTTGATTTTGACAGGTTTATACTGATAAAAATGTAATTTGTTTGACAGTAGAATTTGTAGCTTTACAAATGATAGAAGGGTTGGAAGACACAATAATGAAAAGCAAAAGAAAGTGTGCTTGGAAAGCAGATAATCCATTTCCCTTTCAAATAATATTAGGAAATAATCAATGGAGATGAAGAAACAATGGAAAGTATTACTGCAGAGGACTGGAATGTGGCAATTTTTTAATATTTTGGAATCCAATATGAACAGTTCTCAGCAGGAGAAGGGCATTCCTCTATGCTGTAGCTTCTGAAATTCTCAAGGATGCTTGTTTTTTGGCATATCATTCTATCCAGGATAACACTGAAGAAGTTTCCTTAATCCACTTTGATACCACTTAATGTTCTTTTCTGTTCTGTTCAGGTTTTTGTTGTAATCACAGATGTGAATGACTGTGCCCCAGAATTCCAACAGCTGATTTACAGCAAGGATGGTGTTCCTGAAACAGTTACTATGACAACTGCACTTCTACAAGGTTAATACTTATTAAATTGTTTCCAACATTGAGGAGGAAGGTTGTTTTCTCTCACAGATTAGAACTCACGCCAGAAGCCAAAATTAGGTAATTTTAAGACTCTGGAGTTGATGGGCACCTGTAGAAGTAGGTCATAAGCATTTACTACCATAACAGTCAAAATGATCTCAGAGAGAGGGCAGAGGAAGGAAATTAATATTCTCTGTAGGGTTTTGAGGCAAGAGGATTTCAATGTGGTTGCATTAGATCAGTAGGCTTGTAACATTTCCTCTTGAAGGAGGAAAATTATGTTGGATCAGAAATTGTGGAGACATCAGATCCCCTTCTGTGCCCATCCTTAAAAGGTTTATAGGTGCTCATGATAGGAAATACTGACTTTTTTATGTAGAAATCTCTGTGTGCAGTTTGAGTGTTATGTGAGGTTTTGGTTGGGGGAGAGCAAGACTTGGCTTTTTGCCCAATGTAGCAATAATTTGAGCTTTGAATGGCTGTGCTCTGTATCAAGCACAAAATACAAAATCATGTATTGAAAATGTTTATAAGGATATGAGCAGGTTCTGTCAATAAAACAAACCTTGGATAACTTAACAGCTGCAGAAGGGCCCTAGAAGTCTTTAATCATTATGTAATCTTATTTTAAGTCATGAGGAAAAAGGAAATTAAACTACAGGAAAATTATTGGTTCCTACAAAAGGCTATTTACTGTTCTGTTTAGTAATTTATCCCATGGTATTGGTAGTCTGTTAATTACTATGCTGGTAACTGAGTTTTTAGTATGGGTTTCTGCAGGTTATGGGTAGGATGTCACAAACATGTTAATTCCACAAACATAAGTATCAAATAATATGTGTAAATATAATTTCATCTGTTATCACACAAGGTCTCAAAGTGAATTTAAGTGGGCAGTACGTATCAGATGGACATGAGGTAGGAATCTATTTCAGGTAGTACAGGATTCCTTAGATCCAGCAAAGACAAAATCCTGTGGCTGTATTCAACCAGGGGCTTAAAATCAGGTCTTTCTTTACAGCTTCTTTCCCAGTAAAGGCTAGCTGAATAAAAAGTAGAGGACATAGCATGGATTCAAAAAGCATTTCAAGCAGCATTTGCCAAAGCATATATTAGTGTTTATGTGATTAAATAATTCTTTTGTTGAAGTACTTAACATTTCAATTCATATACTTTGATCTAGAAAATTATTTCTTTCTCTTCTAACAGTGACAGCCACTGACTGTGATTCCAAAGAGAACGCCGAAATACGCTATTACACTTTGAGTCCTGATTTTAGTGTTACGGCTGATGGTACTGTTTTTCCAGCAACACAGTTGGATTATGAGCGACCTAATCATCTTTATGAATTCATAATTATGGCTGTAGATAAAGGAGAAGAGCCCAAGACTGGCACAACAACTGTTAGGATCCACGTTTCAAATGTGAATGATGAAGCACCTGAGTTTTCCCAGGCAATGTAATTACATGTTTTTAAAATTCTTTTTTTTTAAAAAAAAAAACTACAGCTTTTTGAATTTTAGTTAATCAGCAGTGTTGTAACTAAATTCATCTCCCAGAGGATACTTGTGATTTTTATTTTAAATTGTGAGGTTCAGACTTTTGCAACCTGGGTTAGAATCTGGAAGAATTCAAATCATGCTTCCACATATCACCCAAAGCCTCACCACTTCCCATGCATGGCAATGCCCAAAGGCATTTGGACTCTTGTCCTCTTTTCCCACTCTCCCCCCACCAAGGATATTCAATTTATCACAAGTTCTTGTTTAACCAGGTTGACAAGACTTTGATTTTACTATATCTATTCCATGGTGATAAAATCGTGAATTCAAAGGTAATCTTCAGACAGACCTTAGCTGAAATTTCCTGTGAGATAGCTTCATCATGATCACCTGTAAATTGGCTCCTGTTGAGAGACTAATCTGCAATTAATGTTGTGCTCAGTGCTAATATAAATCAAGATGGTGATGTTGTCCTGTCAGCCCAATGCTTAAACAGATTTACAGTCCAGTATAAACTCATGATTCCTCTGTATGAGCTTGTTTTCATCATGGTCATTCTGTATCTCAGTTAGGAAATGCTTAATGCTGCTGCTTTGTCTCTTTTTAAGAAACTTCTTGTGATGACTTGAACTCTTCTGTTCCTGTATTTAATGTTCAAAACTTCTGGAATTACAGTTCATTTGCGTTTCTCATGCAGGGATAGAACAATGTCCTGATGTTGTGACTGAACTAAACCAGAATGATTCAGTTCTCTTATTTCATTGCGTATTAAGTGAGAGGAGAAGAAAAGCTGTTTCTGCGCAGGCCACACGTATGCAGAGAGCAAAATTTAAGAGTTTTTCTGTGCACCCGTTTTCTTTGTCTTGGAAGTTTGTGCCACTGTCAGGATAAGGATCTGGAGGTATGAGAGCAACTGACTTCATCAAGCAGCTGTGTCCACTTCAACTTTGTTGATGGTGAATGAAGAAGAGTGTGCTCATAAGCAGATCAGAACACTGTATTTTCTGTCTAAATTTCTAAGTATCTTGTCATACCTTCTTTTAACAGCTACAGGAGCTTTGTTTCTGAAGATGCAGGCCCAAATACAATAGTTGCTACAATTAATGCTGTTGACCCTGATGGAGATGGTATAACATATGCTATTCTATCTGGAAATCAAAAAGGGAACTTTGTTATTGACCATAAGAAAGGTAAGAATGCGTTAGCTCTTTGTGGCTGTGGAGTCACAGCTGTCTGTTGATCTTGATGGGGCATACCCAGAACTAGGCAGATCAGCTGAGCTGTAGCCACTGCCTCATTGGGCTTTGTAGACCTACCTGCAGACAAACCTCTTGTTGTGTTATCTTTAATGCCAGACTGCGTTAACACTGCCTAAGTTAAACTAAACTCTGGCTTTGTGGTTTACTGCTGAATGGTTAAACTAGAATGGTTTGCTGTGATGCTTACTGATGAGAAAGGTAACCGTTATTGGCTAATAATAATTGGTTAATTAATGATTGGTTAATGGTAAGCAATAAAAACACAACATATTGTTTTTACAGGGCTAGTTAAACTTCGTTCAAGTCCTTTCCCTAAGCTACAGGGGACAGAGTATGTTCTTAATGTCACGGCAACTGATGATAACGCCTCTGGAGGACCCCGTTCCCTTACCAGTACTGCTCAGGTTATCGTGAAAATTGATGATATCAACAATAACAAACCTGTCTTTCAGAAGGTAACGTATTTATTTTGCTGGTAGATATATATATGTGTGTGTGTGTGGATGAGATACTTATTTTAGATACGCATATATGTCATATATGTATTTTTATTAGACTACTGAATACTGTTCAAAAAGTGATCTTCACTTCTGAGTCGTTGCCACTGTTATCTTAATCTACATCCTTTTCCTGGGCCGTGCATGGTTTGTTGTCCCCTTCGTGCAGCATGGCAGCTCCCGTGGGTGCTGTGCTGTCCTGCCTTGAACCATACCTCACTTTTGACATGTGAAAAATAGTGAGTGAATAATTTTTGAAGATTTCGTATGACGTCTGAAGAGGAAATGGATGGGCAACATCCTTTATCCAGTGGACTTGTTATAAAATACCATAATTTTTTCTCTCTGACTGGGTTTGAAGGTAGAAAGAATGCAAGGGTTTTGGCTTAAATTAAAAAATAGTTTTAAAAAAATAAATGGTTGCATAAGTTTCTAGAATGTTGATTCATCTTGGAGATCTCTTGTCTAAATATTTTGAGTTTGATCCTGAAGGTAGATAAATTCATCAGTGTTGCATATTTTGAAATGCTAGTGAGTGTTCAAATGTTGTTAATTTGTACTTGACAAGGTTACTGTGTATCAAAAACCCTTCTTGACCAAAGCAGTTCTGTGACTATTAAAAAACGGTGGGCAAATACATTTCCTTTTTTTGTAATGCTTTTGCTAATAGAGAAAAATACTACCATTTTGAAGCATTTGCAACTGTAACATTTTGTACAAATATTTTTGGACAAAGTGGGAGGCTATGGCTTCAGATTGCATTTAGTTTGTATAATCACAGAACAGTAAGTGAAGTCTGTAAATTAATCATGGTACAATTAAAGATTAACATCACTGCCTCTGAATAGAAGTATAATAAATACTTTTCAGTCTCATATATATTCAAATTAAATGGCATGGGTTTTTTTTTTTTTTTGTTCCCCTCTTTTCTCCCCTTTAGTGTCAATATTATCAGGAACATGCTTCTGTATTGGAAAATCAGCCTTCAGGGACAGTTGTACTGCAGGTTGAAGCCACTGATGCTGATGAAGGAGCCAATGGTGTAGTGAGATATGGCTTGATGTACAGAGATGGTGTCCTACCAGCGTTTAGTATTCATCCTGACACAGGTAAAGGGAATATCAGACTGAAAATGGCACAATATAAATATGTCTTGATGGAAGACAAACTTAAATAAAATCACATTTTGCAAGAGACATGGACTCTCTTGATAGCAGACAAAATGTATTTTTTTTTAACTGCATGAACAAATACTTAGTTTCATACGTGTCCAGTATTTAGCTAGCACTGATTTTTTTTTTCCTGAAATGTGCAAGTTCTGCCGTGTGAAATAATTGTGTGGTTTTCTAAGTAGATTTAAGAAAATAGATTTTATGTGCACGTTAACTTGCAGCATTGCCAATGACATGACTCAAGTAGATAAGTACAAAAAGACTATGTGCATGGAAGGGCAAAACTGTAAGTTTAGACTGAAGATAAAAGACATGAAACGTGCTTTACATTGTACTTACAGTGCTCCAGAAGAAGATGCAATTTTTATAAACTCTCTTTTAAAGTTGGTTTGATACTTATCCCTGTTGTCTAAGACAAAGTCCAATTGAATAAAAATGCAAGTAAATATGACATTTTACAGTGCAATTTAAGTTGTTGAGATTGTGTGACTTGAGCCTTGCATCAAAAATTCATGTAATAGGTTAAATAAAACTATCATATCCAATGTATGAACCGGCAAATAAACCTCTGAATACACAGTATTATCACATGTATGGTATTTTAACTCTTTGACTTTTAATTTCCAGGAGTCCTGACAACTGTTCAGGTATTTGATCGAGAAAAACAGAGGGAATATCCTATCACCGTGACAGCGACAGATCAGGCAGTGGAACCACTCATTGGAATATGTCAGATAAATGTTATTATCCTGGACCAAAATGACAATGATCCCAGATTTGAAAACACCCACTATGAATGTAATTGAGAGTCATTGGATAGAGTTTCAGTGCCCTGAGTGTGAGCTTACCTGATGTCTAAGATTTTAGTTTTGCCTTTTCCTGACGTTAAATTGTGTTACTAGGTAAATGATAATATCCAGAAGTGCACTTACCTTAATTGCAAAAATGTCACTCTGTATAATGTACTGTGTAAAAAGTATAGTCTTGATTTGTAGTCCTTATGAAACAACAGCTATGTCAGTATCTTTGTTCGTTTAAGTACACCAAGTGCCCGTGGTTCTGCTCAGAGATGTAAAGGTGGTAATAAACGTGAGAGTTTGGCACTGAGCAGAACTGTGTTCTTTCTCTTCCAATATGTTTTTGCTGTAACTCTTGAATACGTAGTTTTCCACTTGAATTTCACCATTTTGCATTATTTGGTGTTTTACCTTTCCTGCTTGATTCCTGAAAAAAACTTCTTTTTTAGATAAATTCCCAGAGGTATGCATGATAAGCAATGAAAAAGTGGAGAGGGAAAGATATTTCTCACTTTCTTATACTAGAAAGTAGATTTTGACAATATGGTCCTTTTCTGCCTGCGCTGGTTTTATACCAGAAACTAGAATGCTATTTGTGCACATTTCATATTTAATTCAACACAGTAAATCCTTTAGTGAAAAATGTAAGATTAAAAGAAGACTTAGTATCTTAGGAAAAATAAGAATCATAAATGTGTTAATACAAAGTTCAAATGTGATCCACAGTTCAGGAGTGATAGCAGCACTTCAAAATATCCAGTTTGATTTTTATGGGCATCGTTACAAGGTGAATGAAGTATAGCTTCTATCAGTTTTTACTTTAACATATTCTTCACAATAGAAAATTGTTCATGATGCTTTAAAGAATTAATGATCAGTCTGAAATCTCCCCCCCACCTTTTTTTTTCCTTCCCCCATTAGATTTCCTAAGAGAGGACACAGCAGTTGGGACTAGCTTTCTTCGTGTTGCAGCCCATGATGTTGATTACAGCTCAAATGCTGCTATTACATACTCCATAGCAACTGAAGAACCTGATTATTTACAAATTAATCCTACTACAGGCTGGATCTTTGTTAGCCAACCCATACCTCAGGTGAGGTGCTTCCTTCCTTTGTAAGTCTGAGTGCCAGCTTAATATATCATAGGAGGGACTGAGATCACAATTTTGTTCCTACCCTCCATGTTACCTCTCCAGCTTAGAGCATCTGTGTTGCACATTTAAATTGACAGCACTACCTGTTCATCCTGCTCCAGTTTGTTCTGGTAGACTAATGTTGGAGGAAGGACAGTGGAGGGCTGAGACTCTAAGAGAAGAACAAGTACCCAGGTGTAGGAGTTGGTATTAGCAGCCAGTGAACTAAGGCACAAACCTGGATATGAATACGAAAGAATGAAATACTGCTTCTGTTATGGACTTTCAACACATAGCTTTTCCTGAGGAAGGTAAAGGCATAGTGGACAGATTTGTTTCAGCTAGCTGTTTAAAATTTATCACTTCTAGTCATTTCTAGCTTGATATTTTCATCATAATAAAGTAATATATGTGAAAGTAAAGCTAAATACAATTGTTGATTGTAACAAAAGTGCTAATAGATAAGCTTTAAGAAATCAACAGTTTCACAAATTTTTATTTAATTTTTTAAACTTTATTTTGTTCAGATTTATCAAGGATATAGCAGCATTTTTTCCAATTATCTTATTGATGGAATCTTCCTGCAACCTTGCAGCTACTTCATATTCTGAGCTCAGTCCTCTCTACTGTAGATGTCTTTTCATAGAATCACAGAATGCTTAAGGTTGGAAGGGACCTCTGGAGGTCATCTAGTCCAACCCCCCTGCACACTCAGGGTCACCTAGAGCACGTGGCACAGGGCTGCGTCCAAGCGGGTTTGGAAGATCTCCAGAGAAGGAGATGGATTTTTTATTTTTTATTTTTTTTTATGGATGATGATTTTTTTTACTGTGCATTTAATTTATTTTGCAACTGAAACTCATTTGAATCCTGATCAAGCCTCCCTGTAATAAACCCCCTCTTATTTTCAGAGGTCATCTGTAATTCGAGAGGTTATTGCTACAGATGGAGGCAATAGGAGCAGTAAAGTTGAGCTTGCAGTAACTATTACCAGTGCAAAAAACCAGCCCCCACGGTGGGAAAGAGATAGTTATGAAGTTGTTATTCCAGAGAATACTACACGAGATGCATCAATTTTGGTAAGTTTGGGAATTGCCTGTTTGTTTGTAATCTTCTAGAGTATTTAAACAGGCTTGTATGCTTAAATTTAATAAACTTACTGTAATATTTCTGTGTGGACCCTGTAATTGCAGGGTCCAATGATCTGCTACCAGTTTTCTTTCAAATATGCTAACAATAGTAGGCATTTCTTGCTTTAATTCACATATATGCAACTGCTATTCATTTTCTCTCCAATTTGGACATGGCCATAGGTAAACGAAGTCTGGGTCTGTGCATGCTGCAGCCTTACCTGAGGTGGTTACTGGACTCAAGAGTATCTACACTCATTCAGTTTGATTGATTAGAACTAGTAATTGGATCAGTAACTGTAAAATACGTTTTTAGGCTAAAACAGTGAGTGATCAAGTCATCACATGAATAGTAGCCTTTGGCTGCAGCTGTCTGTAGCCCAGACGTCTATTGAGTAAGCTTAAAATTTTGTACCAGGAGATACTTCTGTGTTTTCTGTTGAGGTCTGAAAATCTGGAACAGCTGGTACACAAGAGCTTTTAGAAACAATTCTGTGCTTACAAAGCTGATGCAAACGTTTTGAACTGCACAGACAATCAAAGCAACCTCTCCCCTTGGCGATCCCCGTGTGACTTACAACCTGGAAGAGGGACTTGTTCCAGAGACCAACATGCCAGTTCGTTTCTACCTGACTCCAAACAGAGATGATGGTTCTGCTTCAATCCTGGTGGCCGAGCCGCTAGATTTTGAAACAACAAAGAGCTTTCTGCTGAGGGTTCGAGCACAGAACGTTGCTGCGGTTCCTCTGGCAGCATTCGCTACCATCTGTATTAATTTAACAGGTACGTAGGCTGTGCAGTGATGCTTTAATTTAATCTCTGTGTGTGTGTGTGTCTGTATGCTTTACAGTTTTCTATTTACACACTCTTTTTGGTATCTTAGATGTCAATGATAATGTCCCATTCTTCACTTCATCAATTTATGAAGCCTCAGTAGCAGAGGGAGCTGGTGTTGGGACATTTGTTGTTCAAATCTCTGCAGTGGATCTTGATCTTGGTCTGAATGGTGAGGTAAGCAAGTAGGGGCATACATCTTCACAAATATATAACTCTGTATGAAGAGTAACTAAATGGACTAGAAGTCATGAACCTGGAAAAGATAAGACTAATCAGGGAATGTGATATAGATGATATTTCTTCATCAAACCTGTAACTCAGCTAACAAAGTCCTTGTGGCAGGATGCTCCTGTTTGGAAAGATTTATATAGATCTAAAATGCATCGGATAAATTGAAGACAAAATATATTCAAGGCATTTGTGAGCTGTGAATTAGAGGGACTGAAAACTGAATCTTTTAAAAATATGTTAAATTCACACCCCAAAGTAAAGTGTGTTCACTATTGATTTTAAAAGTCTTAAGTATGCATACTGTTAGAAGTTAACTTTCTTCTGTAGGATGCACATCAGTGGAAGCACCCCAGTAGAAGCAAATGTCAGATACACTGAAGCATAAATAGAAGAGATCGCAGCATGGTCCATAATACTGAGCAAATATGAGTTCAATTCACCTCTAGCTATTATATTAGTACCTAGGATCTTCAACTGAGTTTGGATACTGTTCCATAAGCAACAGCAACATACGAAACATATAAGCATGTAGTGCAAACATACAAAATACTGAGCTGATGGGCTAAGTAGATGAGAGAGAAAATTATTTCAGTTTACAGACGGACAACCACAGGCACAAGAAAGCTAAATGACTTAGATAGTTGATCAGACTGGTAGTTTTACTCAGGTTTCTTCTACCTGTCCAAGTTTTTAACCACGGAACTTCCTTCTGTTTTTAAGTTCCTCTTCAGTTACGAGCTATCCAACTAAAGGAAAGCCTAGATTAACTTTTTTTTTTTTTTTTTTTTTTTTTTTTTTAATCTTTTAGATAACCTACTCCTTCTTACATGACCGTAATGGAGACTACATACATTTTTGCTTGGACTCATGGACAGGCTCAGTATACACTACCTCAGTATTTGACAGAGAGAAGAAGGGGTCCTATCTTTTAGAAGTCAAGTCAGAAGATGGCACTGAATCAGCTCGACCTGGAAAACGGGGGAAGCCAAACTCTGGTAAGAAACTGATAGCTGTGTGCTTTTATATTTTATGTTTTTTTTTTTTCAGGCAAACTGTTGTTGTTGTTGTTCTAAAATGACAAAGAAAACTAGAGCCTCATGCTTAGATTTTAGAGATTATTTTCTAAGTAGCAATGACACTCTTGTCATCCATAGTATGTGAACCTAGGATTCCACCTAGGATTCTTGCACCTCGGTATTGGAGGTGTCTCTCGGAGCACTGCATATGGTACTGTTCAGTTGAAAGTAATTATAAAGTCTGAAGCAGAAACATTCAAGACAAAAAAACCCTCTCATTCTCAATTGACATGGTCGTGCTTAGATAAAGACTTTAAGTTTTGCTTTTGTGGCTTTAGGACAAAAAGGTATGACTTAAAACTGTACAATTGCTATATGAAGCATCACGTGCTCTCTCATCAAATTGGATGTGACATTCATTTGATATCCAAGTGCTTTTGAGTAATGCTGGTATATGAATTGTCCACAGTCCTAAGGGTTTGTTTCTATACTGTCTGCATATTCATCTTCAGTTAATATGCAGCTAGGCAACTTAAGGAATTGTAGCTGACACAAGTGGCACAGCTGAGTGTTTTAATCTCTTGTTTCTTGTCTCTCTAGACACGGCCTACGTGCGTGTCTTTATCAGTGATGTGAATGATAACAAGCCTGTCTTCACTCAAAGTGTCTACGAAGTAAATGTGGATGAAGACCAGGATGTGGGCTCAACTGTCATTACAGTCAGTGCTAATGATGAAGATGAAGGTAAAGTATTGGAATTCCCTAGAGCTGTATCTAAAATATTAATGTGTTAATTTTGCCACACCAAGATATATTTAGTGACAGTAGGAGGAAAATGTCTTTATGTCTCTACATTTTAGAACTTCTTTGTCTGAATTGATGGGGCAGGAACATTAGCTGGTAATGGAGCTGTAAGGCATAAGCCAAGTAACTTACTACATGAGGCAGTGCATTAATGTGGGATGATAGGGAATAATTTCTAGGTCAGCAAAAAGAAATTTATTAGAGATCTTTTCTTTAAAAATGGGTCCTGATAAAAATGTTCTAGTTAATGAGAATTAATCAGACTTCATCTCGTTGAGATTCATTTGCTTTCTCTATGGACAGGGGAGATTTTTTTTTTTTCTTGCATGCTACAGAATATTATCATATTTGAAAATACATGTCCTAAAAATGTATCAGTCTTTGCTGTATTGATTTATCTCCAAATCAGTAAGAAATTGAGCAGCAAGTACCTAAACAGTCCTTGTAACTGTGCGGGGGAGATGCAGATTTCCATCTTTTGGCCATGGTGATCAATGGTATTCAATAAATTCAATCTGTAATACCAAAAAGTAATTATTACATTATTGGTACTTCATCTTAACATGCTATGTTTTAGCGTACTTGCATGTTTTCTAACACTGTTGATTGCTGACAGGAACAAATGCTAAATTACGGTATCAGATCACAGCTGGAAACGCAAGAGGGATATTCAATGTAGAACCAGAAACAGGAGCCGTTTTTATTGCACAGCCACTAGATTATGAAGAAACAAAAATGTATGAGATTCACTTGTTGGCATCTGATGGGAAATGGGAAGATTATGCAGTTATCATCATCAATGTTATGAATAAAAATGATGAGTCTCCAGTTTTCTCTATCAGTGAATACTATGGAAGTATAATTGAGGAACTGGATGGGTTACCAGTCTTTGTCCTTCAGGTAACATGAATAGTTTCAGAAATTATAAGTAGTTTCAGAGATTATAGTATATCTATTGTATATAACGTGTATGGAAGAACACTGCTACAGCTAAGATGATAATAATGCAGTGCAAATATATTAATAAAATTTAGTTCTGATTATTTTTGTCAGTGGAAGAAGAAAAAGAGTTTTATGAAAAAATATGAAGCTAAAGATAAGCAGAATGATTCTTTTGTGATCCTAAATAGCAGATCATTAACACTTTAAAATAGCTAGTATAATAGTGTGGTTAAATTGCCTATATAAATATGAAAAGATAAAAAGATCATTTGAATATTATTTTGCTGTTATTACGATGCAGAGCATATATATCTACTCTGTATTGTCCCTGAAGCACCTCTCATTTGCCATTGATTCAATGTGTATATTAATAGTGTGTCACACACTTTGGCTTGAACTCCTTCCTCAGACTGTGGCAGCATATAGGCTATAATGCAGTCACTGCATGTTATGCAAACCCTGTGTCTTTGCTTTCAAAACCTCTGTAGGTTGTGGCAAGTGATCCTGATAGTAATCCGAACGAAGGAGATGTGAGATACTCACTACATGGGCACGGTGCAGCTGATGTTTTCACCATAGATGAGAACACGGGCAGCATTTATTCGCAGAAGACGCTGGATCGGGATGAGCTGGCACTGTGGAGATTTGTTGTATTGGCTACTGATGAAGGCGGAGAAGGACTTACTGGATTTGCTGATGTAATTATTAACGTGTGGGATGTAAATGACAATGCCCCCAAGTTTGCATGCGTGCCTGGTGATTGCAATGGGACTGTCTTTGAAAATTCTCCTGCAGATACGTTAGTCATGGAAATGAGTGCAGTTGATCTTGATGATCCAAATGTAGGTCTTAATGCAGTCCTGACTTACAAGATAACAGAGAATGTAAAAAATCAATTTGGTACCAATTTGTTTAATATCAATCCCAATACCGGTGCAATCCACGTAGCAGAGGGAACACTGGACAGAGAAATGATTGAAAAATATTTTCTTACTGTTGAAGTAACAGATGGGGGAGGGCTGACGGGAACTGGCACTGCCACTGTCTGGATTGCAGATGTTAATGATCATGTACCTAAATTCACCCAAGAGATGTGTCAGGCAACGATTCCTGAAAGCAGTGACATTGACTCAGAAGTTCTGCAAGTGTCTGCTACGGATGCAGATATTGGGGAAAATGCTCACTTAACTTTCAGTATCATTGAAGGAGATCCGGATCAGAAGTTTTTTATTGAGAATGACGGAGAACATCAATATGCTATTATCAGACTGAAAAAAAAATTGGATTTTGAGAAAGCACATGAAAGACAGTTTAATATTACTGTTAAAGTGGAAGATCTCGATTTTTCTAGTAGTACATCGTGCCTGATTGAAGTCGAGGACTCTAATGACCACAGTCCAGTTTTTCATTCTCAGTTTATTCAAACAAGTCCCTTTGAAAATACGCCTGTAGGTACTACAGTAATTACAGTGAGTGCTACAGACAAGGATTCTGGTTTGAATGGGAACATTGTGTATTCTATCAAGTCCGATTCAGATCCTATGAGACATTTTGCAGTTGACCAAAATGGTCATGTGGTGGTGGTGGGTGCGCTAGATCGTGAAGTCATTCAGAAATACTGTTTAATTGTGCACGCCTCAGATCAAGGGGCTCCAGCCCAAACTGGAAGCATCACAGTTTTGATTGACCTGCTTGATGTGAATGACAATGGGCCAAGGTTTGAGGCACCATACATGCCTGTAGTTTGGGAAAATATGTTGAAGCCTGAAACAGTGTACATGAACCATACATCAAAGCTACTTCATGCATTTGATCCGGACAGTGAGGAAAACGGGCCACCCTTTACATTTTCATTGCCACCAGATTATCAGAATTCTCTGGATTTTTCTCTTACTGACAATAGAAATAACACAGCAACCATCACAGCTTTGAGATCCTTTGACAGAGAAAAGCAGAAAGTGTTTCACTTGCCAATAATTATAACGGATAGTGGGATCCCAGCTATGAGCGCTACAAACACGCTGACTATAACAATTGGTGATGAAAATGACAACTCCCATCAATCTGGCCATAAGGAAATCTATGTGTACAGTAACAAAGGTAAGTGTTATCTGTCTTACCAGACTTGTGAATATGGTACAATTTTACACATTATTTCTCTTACAGACTTTTTTATAGTTTATCTATTTCCAGACTAAAGCTCCCATTATGTAAAATACTAAGTGTATCCTATATAAAGTGAGATATACTAAATAAAGTATGAAAAGATGAGCCTTACTGGTTGTCTGTCTACCAAGTTTAGTCCCTAATGTGTAAAAATATCTGTCAAAAGACTGCTAGCTACAAACAGATAATGTTTCTTTCTGAAATATTTTTTATCTACAACAGCAAATATATAGTATTTTTATAAACTAAAATCTATTTTTTATTCTTTTTTTTCACCTACTCAAAGGCTGGTTTGTGTGCTAAGGATGCAAAAATCATATGGCACTGAGAGGACTAGGGATGAAAATGGTTTAACTGAAGCATTTTAGATGCACAGAAGAACCTTATACATAAATGTAGACCAGTCCCATATTCACTGTGACAGCCACTGCGTGTATGTAATTTTTGGAAAATGAAGCCTTATACCAGCAAAGAAAATACCTAAGAAAAAGCTGAGTCAGTGCTTTGCTAGGACAAGATGTAAAGACAAATCTTCAGAATGCAATAAGGAGCTGCTTCCCAGAACAGGTAGTCTTAGAATGATTTAAAAAAAAAAAAAAAAAACAAAGCTGTTCTGGATGTTTCCTTCACTGGAAGTGCCGAAACTGGCACAGCCTGTTCTGCTCTGCCATGGTCTTTGCTCCCAGCTGCATCCTGTGAGATGCTCTCCCACTGGTGTGTGATTCACACCGGTGTAAAAGAGCAGGTTAAGGGAGTGCTTGGGACTTAACTCCTGATAAGGAGATGGTCTGAGAATTTTAGGAGTTGTATTAGTGTATTGTTCTATTGCTAGTTTTGGTTTTAATTCCTTTGTTTAGCATCCAAGGTTGTCCACTTTTCCAGGAGAACTTGTAGCAGAAATCATATGACAGGCTACGTGTTATTGTAAGAGGTTTAGATCATAATCATCACCTAATCAAGCAGGAATTGTAAAATGATAAATTCAGTAATGAATGCATTGGAATTGAAATCCCACTGAAAAGCAAAAATGAA